CCAAGGCAGCTGGGAGGATCATATTCCATTGGTAGAATTCGCTTATAACAACAGTTATCAAGCGACGATCGGGATGGCCCCGTATGAGGCATTGTACAGGAGACCTTGTAGGTCACCGATATGTTGGGCTGAGCCGGAGGACAGCTTGATGCTTGGACCGGAGCTGGTGAGGCAGACTACTGAGAAGATAGCCTTGATCAGAAAGAGGATTCTAGCAGCTCAGAGTCGGCAGAAGAGCTATGCAGATAAGAGGCGAAGACCCTTAGAGTTTCAGGTTGGAGATTCAGTTATGTTGAAGGTATCGCCTATGAAGGGCGTACAGAGATTTTGACGACGGGGGAAGCTTGCGCCGAGATATATTAGACCTTTCCGGATTTTGGACCGCATTGGAGCGGTGTCATACAGACTGGACCTTCCAGCATCTATGTCTAGTGTGCACAATGTGTTCCATATCTCTATGCTCAAGAAGCACTTGCATGATGAGGAGCAGCAACGAGTGTTGGATGTACCGGAGATTGAGCTTCGGGATGATTTGACTACTATTGAGATCCAGTGTCTATTCTTGCTAGGGAAGACAAGAGACTAAGGAACAAGGTGATTCCATTGGTGAAAGTTCAATGGAACCGAAGTGGAGTTGAGGAAGCTTCTTGGGAGCGCGAGGAGGACATGCGACGCGAATACCCACATTTGTTTGATCAGGTAAATAAATTTTATGACAAGTACCTTATATTATGTTGATATCTTTGGTTATATATATTTAACACTAGAATGAGAATATCTTCGCCCAATTCATAATCTTTTGGAACACATGGTATATATATGGGGGGTTCCTTGTTTGGATTTTTCACCCGAGGTACTAGTTCCACTAGATTAGGGATTGAGCGAGAATATTACCATTTTGGACAGTTAAGTATAAATATCCATAAGCACTCATCTAGAATTTAGCATTTCAAGATGAGTATGATTTCCGAATTTCGAGGACGAAATTCTTTTAAGGGGGGAAGAATGTAGAACCCCGTAAATTTTATAATGAATATATATTGAATTTCTAGTGATAAATAATTCCTTGTGAATATTAATCATATATATATATATAATATATAAGAATGTGATTATCAGTGTACGAGAACTCATCAAGTGTGTTTAAGTGAGATAATTTGAGTAGTTCGAGCATCATGTGGTGATCAGATCAAACCTGGCAAAGTTCATCTGATCGGTCGACCGCAGTGGACGTGGCGGTCGACCGCACCTCTATATATATATATATATATATATATATATATATATAAGAATGTGATTATCAGTGTACGAGAACTCATCAAGTGTGTTTAAGTGAGATAATTTGAGTAGTTCGAGCATCATGTGGTGATCAGATCAAACCTGGCAAAGTTCATCTGATCGGTCGACCGCAGTGGACGCGGCGGTCGACCGCACCTCGTTCTCGCACTCAGGAAACTCGTTTCCTGCTGTGCGGTCGACCGCACTGGGCGCGGCGGTCGACCGCCCAGCAGGCAGAGAGTTTGCTGGGTTTTGGTTCTTAACGGGTTTCGGGTCGGGTTTGGGGTTTAGTATATATTCTAATTTACCCAAGAGAACCCCTTTTCATTTGAAATCAGAACCCTAGCCCCCTCTCTCCCCTCAAACCCTAGTTTCTCACTCTTTGGTGATTTGGAGGAGCTTTGGAGGGTTTTTCAGCGGATTTTTGGTGGATTCAGCGAGAGGGATCATCTCCCTCCAGATCTAGGGCTTCGTGTTCGTCGTAGGCGAGTAACATCTCGCCCAACTTCACCCCTTTTTGTTTTTATGCTTAGATTTGAGTTTTAATCCGGTTTTTATTGAGCCCAAATCGTATTTTGTGTAGATAAAGTAGATCTTATGGCATGAGGTGCAAAAATCATATTTTTTTAGTTTTAAAAAGTTCACTAATGATGTTTAATTAATGAGATCTTGATCTGAAACGTTTTATGAAGGTTAAACTTATTTCTTTACTGTTTAAGAACTTTTTAAATCATGCTGATTAAGGTTTGTGATTTTTGGTAATGAGGTTTTAACTATTTAAACTTGTTTTTGACTGCCATACATTACTATTGAATTGTTAAAATTAGTTGGTTATAGAAAACCTCAAAATTTGAATGAGTTTCGAAGCTGACAGAAACCCAGACTGGGGTTCTGTCCGATCAGCGGTCGACCGCAGCGGACTCAGCGGTCGACCGTCGCGAGTCTTTGCCAGCAGAATCGCTTCTGCACTTTGAGCGGTCGACCGGCATGACCCCAGCGGTCGACCGTCGCCCAGCTTTTGAGTCCAGTACTTCTCGGACCAGCGAGCGGTCGACCGGAGTGGGCTCTGCGGTCGACCGCCGTACAGATTATTATGCCATGTTTGTTTTTGTTGAACTTTCCACTCGTTCGAGTGTTTGTCTCGACTTTCTAACTTTGGTTCTCAGTCTACTAAGTATCTATGCATGATAGATGGCTTAAAATGCCAGTTTAGAATCACACACCGAGTTGAGTGTGAAATTGGTATAAGTATATCCCCTCATACATCTCATCGACGATTACTATTTGGCCCATGTGATGGGAAAACTAGGTTAAACTCAGTCCTCGTGTTGGACAAGCACTACCCCTTTTGTCCTCGTGTTGGACATACCTCTTAGTCCTCGTGTTGGACATACCTTTTTATCCTCGTGTTGGATATGCATTACCACCCGGTCCAGGCGTTGGACAACGGTCACATCCGGTCCAAGCGTTGGACAACGGTCACTTCCGGTCCATGCGCTGGACAACGGTTATACTCAGTCCATGAGTTGGACGTTTATTTCATGTAGTCTATGTTCTGGACACTTAATCGTTTTCTGACACGTCACCCATGTGAGTATGATATGACACTTATGTAGAATACGACATGGTTTTCATGTAGGTCATACATATATGATTTGTGTTAACTGTACTTTCTGTATACAACGAGCCCTTTCCCTTGGGGTTGGTTGTGATGTTGCTCGCTAGCGCTTTGACGCTCGTTGTCCCTCCCCCTTTCAGGTCACGAGCCAGGAGCCCGGAGAGTCGCAGGTTGATGGCGACACACTTTAGTGTTCAGCTATCTTTTCTAGCTATGCTTTATGTTGGAGCTCCACTGTAGTATTTGTTAGACATTTGAGGACTATGTTATAATTGTTGTAAAGGCTGTATGCCTTATTTCCTTTACTCAGACTTATTGTATTTGAGGCTTGTTGAAAACTCCAGTTTGTTCATTTCAGACTTTGACTTTGTACTTCGGTATGTTGGATGATGAAATGTTATTATGATCTCTACCATTTCATCAGCTATTCTCTGTATTATCTTTTACTTGCTTTTGTACCAACACCTGTTATTGACTCTACTAGAGTGATAGAATTGTGATGGTGAAACATGTTAATGCACGGTGTGGTGCATGGCAGGTTTGACATTCTTGGTTTCACCTAGGACTGCAGCCTTGTGTGAAACCAGGGGCGTCACATATATAGCAGATGAATGCATGACACTTTGCTCAAGGTATCTAAAAGGCTTCGAGACAAAGTTTAATCGCATTGAAAGAAATTATGAAGATGACAATAGAGAATGTCATGAAGCACATCTATCTATATTCAGACATAGTGGGCGGGCATTGGGTGCTGCCACCACCCGCTACCTTGATGAACGTGAGTGGTTGCAAGCTCATATTTATGTTCTAAAGAACTGTGATGAAGTGCAACCACACATTGAGTAAGTCACTAAAGTTTAAGATTCTACTAATAAAATTACTATAGTTAGTCAACGTTAATCATATTTATGATATTTTAATGTAGGGACTACAATGAATTCTTGAGAGAACCCACAAATCACTATGATGATAAAGATTGGGATAAGAACTTTATCGAGTGGTTCCAATCTCTAGTACGTACATATCTTGCCTTATTTTTTAAATATCTTGATTGGTTCATTTTATTACATGTTCCATGACTTGATCATATTTTGGTTTTGTTTAGGTTTATCAGAGTTATTGAGAAGATGATGACTTACTTTCATTATCCCGTGGTCCAAGTAAGATTGTTAAATGTTTTACTGGATTTGTCATAAATGGATATCGATTTCATACAGAAATTCGAGATAATTGTTTGTCAACTCAAAATTGCGGGGTTGCAGTTGTTGGTGATGATGGTGGAGATATAGATTATTATGGTGCTTTGGTTAAAGTTGTCGAATTAGAGTATCTTAGTGGAAGAAAGGTTGTTCTATTTCGTTGTAAGTGGTGGGATGTGCATGGCAAAGGAAAAGAGACAGCTTTGAAAGAAGAAAAATATGGATTTATTAGTATTAACTGCCGACACTTGCTAAAAACGAATGACCACTTTATACTTGTTGGCCAAGCATCACAAGTTTTTTATGTTGAAGATATTGCCAATGAAGGTTGGCATGTAGTTCTTAAAGCACAACCCTGTGATTCATATGATATGCCACCAGATACAGATGATTGTGAGATAACAGATGATGGAGTTGAAGCTTATTTGCAAGATGAATCATTTGATGCTCAGGATATTGCATCCACATCATTGGTAGATGATGATATCAATCTGAGAAGGAGCGATATTGATCCAATTATTGTAAATTCGGTCTCAACTTCAAAAAAGAGGAAAAATACTCAAGTAGAGGATTAAAATGCTTTCATTAAAGAATGACACTCAAATGATATTGTGTTATTGAGATAAAACTCAAGTAGAGGATTAAAATGCTTTCATTAAAGAATGACACTCAAATGATATTGTGTTATTGAGATAAATTTTAAGTTGTATCTTACTATAACTATTCTTTTTTTAGACATATGATGTTTCTTTTATTCCTATTTTGAATTTGGCTTTGACATTGCAGCAAGTTCTTCTACACCAGTGCACTATGTATTTATTATTATGCTTGTCCTTCGTGATATCTTCTTCTTTTATTCATTTCTCTTTTGATATTTGTTTCATACATAGTGTGTAATACTTAAATTCCTTTTCATAGCAGGAAAATGAAAACTCAAGAAGTCACTTCCAAAAGCAAAAAGGCACAATTTCTAGCACCCAGGTCATTAATTAGGAAGCGACTTCAAGCAATTGCAGAAAATTCATTAAGAAGGGAACAACTCCGTACTTGTCATGACATGAACTTGAATATTCAAAATCCAACACAATATCAAAATATGGATGCAAATTTTAGCGCTGATTCAGAAAACTTTGAAGAGGAGAATTTTGCACAAAATCGCAGGAGAAGTGCAAATACTAACAATGAAGAGAATGATGATTCTGCAGGTTGATGAGACTTAAAATTTATTATTATTTGTTTTTATCTTTCAATTTATTTTTTATGATTGGATTAATAATTGCTCAATTTTTGCAGAATCAGATAATCATCGAGTGCAAAGTGATGATGCAATACTAAATGAATCTCGACAAGAAGGTATATTCTTTATTAATTACAAGAAGAAATATTTTTATCAATTTCTTTAACTATATCTTGTTTCTAACATATGATATGATGTATGCAGCTGATAATTCTCAAAGGAAGAAAAATCCACCTCGTGGTAGTAATAAGTGTCTAAAGTTGAATAATTTGTCACATGGGGAGAAAAAAATCATTACTTTTTATCAGAATAGAGCTATTGAACCAGAATTTTCACGATGTCTTGGAATTATTATTCGAGATAGAAATATTTGCCGAGTAGTTGTTGAAAATTAGGCCAAAATACCAAAGCAAAATAAAGATCATAAGTGGGCATCCATTAAGGTACATTGAAAATTAATTTTTTACAATTGGTTTTTAATTCTTATAAATTAAATTAAAATTAATTTTTTACAATTGGTTTTTAATTCTTATAAATTAAATTTTGATTCAAATTTGATATAGGATAAATTTGATGCTGATGACATGGAGCAAAAGAGAGAGTCAGTAATGAGACACTTGCGCGATTTGTGGAATAAGTGGCGTGGTGACATGCACAGGAAATATGTGAAAGAAAATTCATTGCAAATTGCACTTAGAAATAAACCTACAGAAGTGAGTGTTGATGACTGGGATTGACTAGTTAAGGAACATTATTTTTCTTCAAAAATCTAGGTATTAATCTCCTAATTTTATTAATTTTGTTCCATGTATATTGTTGGATTATTAAAATTATCTTTTAATCTTGATGTATAGAAAGCAAGCCAACAAAATACACTTAACAGAGGCAAAAGAAAGATGCTCCACCACACGGGCAGCAAATCCTTTAGACAAATTGCGTGGGAATTGGTATACATTCAAAACTAATTTCTTATTTATTTATAACTACTTTGTTTTTTAGTTTGATGTTGTACTCATTTGTATTTAATATTTGAATAAGGGTGGCAAGTCAGGAAATCCACCTGATGTGGCAAAAATGTTTCATGAAACTCGAAAGAAAGCTAATGAAACACTAGAAAATGGGGATCAAGATAAATATGTAAGTAGAATATGTGATTAAGTTTGATAATGATGCATTATATAGTACTAACATATGAATTTAATTTTTATAGGATGAAATTGTTCAAGTCAAACAAGCAAACCCTTCACTTTCTGACATTGAGATAGTTGAGAAAATCTGAGGGAAGCAATCTCATGGTCACATCACTGTATTTGGTGGCGGGACTACTTTAGATAGTTGAGAAAATCTGAGGGAAGCAATCTCATGGTCACATCACTGTATTTGGTGGCGGGACTACTTTGAAAGATTTGAGAGGACCACTCCCTAGTCGATCTGATCTGGAAGCACGGGTTATAGAAGAAAAGAGAAAGAACCAGATGCTTCAACAACGCTTAGATGAGCAGGAGCAACAACAACAAAGGATGTCTGAGTTGGAGTCACAAGTGAAAGCTATGTAAGAACTTTTTTTTAGGCAATACCTTCATTGACTCCTCAAACTCGAGAACGTGTGCAGGACTAGGTAATTATTTTTTGTAAAATCTCTTATATACTTTTATGATTGACTACTTGCACTAAAAAAATATGATTTTTACTTAATAAGATAATATTTGCTTAATTGATATTTCTTAATTATGTGATTTTCTTAATTTTTCAGGCTATCCATGCAAGATTAGGAGGGGGTAGCTCGAGTCTTCTTTTGACGATGATTAGAGATGAAAGAATTAATGTGTCTTCCCCAAACTTTTATTTTAATTTGTTTTAGATAGTTTCATGTATTTTTCTTTGGAACAATTAGAATATTAACTCTTATTATTAGTATTGAATATTTGAGGATGATGGAATTTTATTTATTGATGTTATTTAATGAATGGAATTTTTATTTTACCTCTTATTCATTATTGGGTATTTTTAATATATTTTTGTTGTGAATCTTAGTGTCTGGTTGAGAATAATATGATAGTTGCCTATGAATGAAAATTTTATTATTAATGTATCGGTTTTATAAACCGTATTTTGTTCATCAACGAAGGGAAAGCACCGTCGTTGATGGGTTACTAATTACCCATTATGAAGACTTTTACGATGGTATCCAACCGTCATTAATTAGTCTTCAACGATGGGAAAATATCCCTGTAACTAATGGTAACGACGGGAAAATATCCCCGTAACTAATGGTAACGACGGGAAAATATCCCGTCACTGATGGTAACGACGAAAAAATATCCCCGTTACTGATGGTAACGACGGTGATATTTACCATCGTAAATATTAATGACGGTAATATATTCCGTCGTTATAGACTCTATAACGACGGGTAGTATATCCCTTCGTGACCCTTTAGCGAAGAGGGCTTCAACGACGGGTGACGAAGGGATTTTTTTCCGTCGTTAGCATACAATAACGAAGGTTTTCAGTGCTTTAACGAAGGGAAATCCTGTCGTTCAAGAGTTTACATCGCCAAAGTCCAAAATTGTTAGTGTCATTAAACTTCTCCACGTCTATCTTCATAGAGTGAATATTCAAACTTTGGACGGTCTTCACACCTGAAGTACCCTCCATAACTCCTTCTCTCCCGGCCATAATTCCTCAAAGCACCAACAACCAAAGCGGGACAAACAAAGAATAGATTCAAAACTGAGAAAATATAGAATTTTTACCAAAAAGATCCCACCTTTAACTCCAAACGAAGCCCTAGCCAAACTTCTAAAGTAATCTACTCCTCCAAATAGCCCAAGCGTAACCTGAGCTCTGATACCACTTGTTGTGCGTGACGGAACAAAGACAAACGCCGAGAGAGAAAACCAAAACAATCCAAAATAACGGCACCAACTCAAACATAAAAGCTTAACGTGGTTCGGCAAATTGCCTACATCCACGGGACAAAAAGGGATGTGTTTTCACTATAGAGAAAGAGAGTACAAAATAGAGATTACAAGATCACTCAACTAACCTCTCAAACAAATCTCTCAAATCTCTCAAACTAAACCCTCAAACAAATTACTCAAAAAGATCTCTCTTTTCTGTGCTCAAAATCACCTTCAAGCTACCCAATCAATCGATTGGAAAACCCTAAAAAACGTGGCTCTATTTATAACACAATCTCAAACAGATTAGGATTCTAAAAACGAGTCTGTCACACCCTGGTATGACACACACCACACCCATGACAAACATGACAGATTTTGTCACACCAGGGTGTGACAGACAACACACCCATGGCATACAGGGCAGATTCTGTCACACCCTGCCACCTGGGTGTGGTGGAGTCTGTCTTGCTTATTTTTCATATTTTTCTCAACTTTTTCCCTCTATTCCTTCGCCGTTTTCACAGTGTTGATGCTAGTGCTCCTTACTTTGTGGTGCTTATTCTAGTGCTCCATAATCCCCAATAGTGATATGAACTGACAACCAAAATGATGTTTACATACATTTTGTTTCACAAGGCTAACATTCTTTTTCATATAACAACGGAGTTTGAAACTCTGGCAGCAGAAAAGATCAACCACAATTGAGACTAAGAATTGTTCTCAACCTCTTCGTCTTTGTCTTTCTATGCATCAGCCCTTCAAACTTCCATCCTTTTTGCACGCTTCAATGTTGACTAATCTTCCTAGTGGACACTTGCATTCTTCCTCATTTATCATTTTTGGGGACAATCCCAACAGTTATCAAATACAAAGTGAGAGAGAAATGATGTAGCAGATATTTTAGTTGTATTTACTTCTTTTTAAAATTGAAACTCTTTCCACCTGGACATTGCAAAAATAAAAACAAATGAGGAATACGATACCAAAGTATTTACTCAATATTTTATTTGAAATTGATACAATGTAAGAATATATGCATTGCTAACTTGGTTTATGTGGAGAAGTTGGAGTAGATGGAAACTTTCCAAAAATTTTACCAAAAGAAAGATCACAATAAACTGACGCCTCATTTGGTATGCAGAAATGAAGTCAAGAGAGAATGGAATGAAGGCAGGATTATAATGGAATTGATATGGGAATGGAATGCTCATTTTCATTCTCATGTTTGGGTGCGATTAGACAATTAAGTGGGAATATCATTAAGAAGGGTATATCCCGAATTTATTTTATTACCACTTAAGTGAGAATGTCAATTCCTTAATAACTCATTGTGAATAGCAATTCCCGTATTAAGTAGGAATTGATGAGAAGTGAGAATGGCATTTCTCGCATCCAAAAATACATTATGTTTGGTAAGCATGAATGAGAAGTTAGAATTAAATTTCGTTCCCACTCATTCCCGCATATATATACCAAACAAGGCCTAATGTCCTAAATCAATTTTGTTAGCTCATACATAATTTAAAATGACATGCATCAATCAGTTTGTTTGGAATAAGAAATTTCAATTTGATCTATTAAAAACCATTATATTCTAATACAAAAAAGTTTGACTTCTGAACTAAACAATCATACCAAACTAATATTAATCTCCATCATTCTCATTCAATAAGAAGAAAACCATAAGAATAATTGTGTGTAATATTATTGTTTGTAATACTTAATAATCCAATCCAATACAATACAATACTTTATGGAGAATTGTTGTTCTTGAACTTCTTTCTACATTCTCGTACGTATACACCATATATATCTCCATGGATCCTCATAAAAAACCATAAAAAATCACACTACTATATGTATAACACTATAATCAAACCCATATGCATATAAATTTTATGTACAGTATCTCAACACAACCATCTTAACTTTGAAAAGGGTACCACATTGAGGAGGAGGGAGCACTTTGAGTCAAGCAAGAGGAGGGCTTGTTTCTTTCCACTAGAGCTAGAGTGTTGATGAAGTGTTGAGGCGTAGTAGTAGTAGTAGTAGTAATGTGAGGGTAATTGGAGAAGCAGGGCACTTGCTCAAACGAAGTGGTATCGGAGCTGAGGTTGTTGTCATGGCTATTTATAGGAGGAGGAGGAGGCGGCGGCGGTGTTAGGGTTTGGTCGAAGGTGATGTAGGGTTCAGAGAGGGGAGGGAGGGAGGAGGAGCCGGTGTCGTCGTAAGAGTTCTCTATTCTTGTTGGTGCTTTGGAGGGTGTACCTATGCCTCTACTCTTGTAGAAAACCCTGCATAGGACCCAATCCTCCTGTTTTTTTAGAAGAAAAAGCAATGTGCATCAAGACGCAGAACGTTCGCATTATCATAAAAAAAAAACCCATCTAAGATTTCGAAATCAAACTTTTATGCTCTTATGTTGAATTTCTAGTCAAATAACCATCAGTCTTTTTCGATATAATTGTCAATTTTCACTATGAGGTGTAATTACACATGTATGTGAGAGTATAGATTATAGTCAGCATCCTATAATTAATTAAGATGTACATGTCTATATGGAAGTATAAATTATTGTCATATCTTATGATTATAATTTTTGCGACCATGGAGATCGAAGTATTGTTTGAATCCTAGAAAACTTAATTATGGGAATTTTTGATAATTTGCCTTTTTTTTAAATGAAAGAGTGCCAATTTGGATCCAATGGCCAAGTTCTATTAATTGATTTTTTTTAATTATGTTATATCAAAACAACAAGAGAAAACTAATTGATTGATGCATGCTTGTAATTGTCGCCAACTTCTTGTGGTCCTATGACAATTGAGCGAGAAGATATTATGTTAGAAGATTCAAAATTAATGATGCAAAGTTTGAGAAGTAATCGTGAAATTATTAGGCAGATGATGATGCAGTTTTAGCACATATATAGGGAGCAAGGGGGTGGGCAAGATTAAGAACTAATGCCTAATTAATCTTATTTATCTAATTAATTAACCCACATCCATATAAGCCTCTAATTCTAGTCATGTACAAGGCAAGTTGGCAAAGTTGAATCTTTCTTAATTAGGTATATTTCTCAGCATTAATTAATAAGATGTAGAATATTACAGCTGATTAACCGGCAAGCACATGTGGTTGATCATGACGTAACATGCATTAACAAATAATTATTGTAATGAAAATATATCTATTTGGAACTAGCCATTTATGAAAGAAAATAATGATTATTCAAAGAAGCTTATACAATTCATAAATATGAGAAAGATTCTTTGGATTAGTAAACGGATGCTCCCTACCCCCCCTCTATCTTGCATTAGGGTATAAAATCCTTTCAAATTGAGAAAATTGAAATGTAATCGAAAACTTTGGAATATCTAGCATTTGAAAATGCATTTGTGAAAATTATGACATGAATTTAGAAGGAAGTTGGTGTATATCGAATATACTTAATTCTTCAACCTTCTTTCTTCTAAAAACTATAGAACATGTTCTCATGTGTGATGTATGAATCAATCTAAATATCTAAATTAACTTCATCTTTTTTTAAAAAAAAAAAATCAAAATCAAAATACCTTGCCAGGGTACATAGGTGGGAGATCACCACGGCCTTCGATTCGAAACTCGTGCATGACCCAATCGGTCTTCTTCCCCTTCGGAGCTCTCCCTTGATAGAAAACCAGGGTCTTCCTCATCCCCACCACCGCACCCTTTCGGATGATCTGTCGATCTTTGCCCGTCGCTTTCCAGTACCCTGACATTGTTGCCCTGTTCGTTCGCTGGCCCGTCGCATACTTTCGATCTCTGAGGTTGAAGAAGTACCATTCTTTGCCTCCTACACATGCTATATCTGGCCCAAAGGATGATGATGTCAACAACAAATTAAGCTCGCCACAAAAAAAAAAAAAAAAAAATTGACACACATGAAATTAAGTGAAGCATGCAAAAAAATGTAATCCTTCACTCACAAAATAGATACCAAATATTATATATAGCATAACTAAATGAATTGGACAATGTAATTACACTAAAAACAATAGAAATTCTTTCGCGTATATAAATTTTTTTTTAACGTTTTTCCATAAATAATGAGGTTTCATGTACACATGTAGGTATAAGAAAACGTACTTGACATAAAAAAAATTCAACGCCTGGATTTTCAAAATAACTTTTGAACCAATATTATGACTAACATCATCCTAACAAAATTTATATTATTTTTAAAAAAATAGTTATTATCAACTTTATATTGGGTATAACTTAGGTGACAATTACCATATATGATGTTAACACAAAATTTCAACGTGCAAATTCATAAAGTAACATTTTATACCAGTATAAGCAAAAGATAATAATCGTCCTAATAAACTTTATACCAAATTTTGATACTCTAAACTATCAACCTTATATATATAATTAGATATAATTCAGATGACAATCACCATGATGTTGAGCTGCGAGACCCACAAAGGAAAGCTTCCATCAACGTACGTACACTAGAGTTGTTGAGATTGAGATGAGATGAGAGCTAAAATTTTCTTTTTTGTGAATTTGTTAACGTCATTGTGTAACAAACCCACCATTGATTGATATTGATGTTGGAAAACCCTGCCCTTTGGTGTGTCGTATAGTTCATTTGCACGTCCACATCGGTCCCCTAACCCATAATAATTCATTAATTCTATAACTTTTGCCTGGTCTGTTTGTTTGCTCAAAAAAAAAAAAATCAGAAATGTGTTGCCACCTCAACTTTCAAGAAATGAATAAGTGCCGCATGAGTTTTTGTTTTCAAGAGTTTTTCATTTCTCGTGTTTGTTTCGTTTTTAAATTTTAAGAAATGAAGTGCCACGTAGGATGACACATCACAATTTCAAAAAATGTGTTTTCACAACAAAAACCTCTGAAAACACTGGGAAATATCACTTCTTTGAATTATTAATTAGTAAAAGCACTGTTGGAATAGTGAAGAAGAATAAAACATAATATTTAACACCCTGGTTTCTCATTTCATTTTTCTTGTTCTCAAACAAACATAAGAAATAGAAATCAAGGCACTGTTACTATATATATATGGATGCCTTTTTTGTCTATTTGTGTGACTTGGCAATGAAATGTGGAGTTTTCTTTGCGAAACAAACAAAAAAAAAGAAAACTGGGAAAACTCTTGAAATGTGCTGAAATCATTTCAAGAGGGAGTTTTCCATTTCTGATTTTTTTGTGGAAATAAACCAAACAGGCGCCTTTAGTATCAATTTATAGTCTACAATACGTCTATATATAGCAGTTTCTCAAAGTAAAATTGGTTATCGTCTCAATACTTTTTACCGAGGTTACAATTGCAGTTGTGTGCATAACTGGGATATTTTGTATCAGTTGTAACTGTTTGTTTCGCTGACTAAGAGACAAAAGAGATTTGTTAGACTTTTTCATTTGAAGATATATATAAAAGAGAAGCATTTAAAAAAGGCTTCTCATTTTCTCTCAAAGAATAATTGATGTTAACATTATTATTTACTTTTTTACATGAGCATCTAAAGTCATGTGTGTTTGTTATATTAAGCAAAGGAAGAGAAATGGGGGGAAAGGGGGATGTAACGTGTACAGTGAGCATGAGAAAAAAAATATACATATATATAGGAAGGAATAGGACAAGGATGAAGTGTTGAGAGGCAAGTGGAAAGAAACTTTGGAAAAGAGAATATTTTCTGTTATGGGAAGGAAAAGCTTAGCACGTATGCGTTCATTTTTGTTCAACCGAAAGAATAGGAGAAGAAGAATATACAATGAATACTAATTTAATTAATTAAATTACAACAAATTTAGGAAAAAAAAACCTCCTTCTCTCCACCAATATTATAATTATCATAATTAATTAATTTGGTATTAATCTAAAAGAAAACAAAAAAAAAATTAGATAGCCAAATGGAGTTTGAAAAAGCCCATATCTAGGCAAATGATAATTGGCGCTACTCAATAATCACAACTTGCCGCATATTGATAAAAATCTTTTCGTAGGGTTAGAAATCAATCTTAAACCCCTAGAGTTATAGTTAGTGAGATTCATGGGCATAGTATTATAATATAAATTTCACTGTACAAATTAACGTGCTAGCATGATTTGAACACTATTGATTTCAATAAAACCTTAGGATCGCTTTCAACCTAGAATCATTAAAAACAAATGAAGAAACAAAGAGAGTAGGGGTTGATGCTATAATTTTATAAGAATCGCGATTCACTTTATAAGAACCAAAAAATCCGAAGTTATGACGCGAATTAAAGATACAATTTTGTATTCTTAAAAACTTTCAATCTGAAAACATAACAAGAACCAAAAGGAAGAAGAGGGCATGTATAAATGGAAAAATCCCTTATACGAGTATCAAATCACAGGAAAACAAGATGCACGTATATACGTCGTTTATTTTGCTAACTGAGGTGACAACTCATATCCAGTATTTTCGTATTTATAGACTATAGCTAGACTAGTTTATCTCACCGGGGAGATCCCACGGCTCACACTTGTTGAGGTCCACGTCGACCATCACCGGGAAGTTCACCGTTGCGCTGGCATCACCGGAGGAGGATGAGGAGGAGAGTACCTTAGGGTTGAGATAGTCGCAGATGAGCTCGTCGTCCCTCGGATGAAATCTAAATCCCGGAGGCAGTTTAGCCTCCACCATGCTCAAATAACTCATTGAGAAGAAAAACAAGGAGAAGGGTTTTAGTTTTAGAGAGATAAAGAAGAGGAGGATTAGAGATAGTTTGCCCCTTAATAAGGGAGATAAGTCAACTAATAAAGAGAGAGAGAGAGAGAGAGGGAAGAGAGAGAGAGAAGAAGAAGAAATAAATAATGAGAATGAGATGAATGAGTTTGGATTTTAGTCTTATATAGAAAGTTAAAAAAAAAAGGGGAGGAAAACAAGCAAGGGATGAAAACAAACAAAGGGGAGGGTGTCACGCTTTCTTCACCGCGGGTGGACCCTACCCATCGCGGGTGATGACGTGGCGAGGAAGCCCCCACTTTGAACAGATATTTCTTTCTATATCTTGGATGCTTGGAAAATAATCTATTAATTAAGAGACCTATTTGCAAAATCATAAATCATTCAGCACTGAAGGAGATCGCGACAAATGCCCGAATATAAAATTTAAAGATGTTATACGAAAAATATGATTATAATAGAGATATAGTACTGATGATTGTTACAGATACAATATTTAGATTACACTGATATTATTTATTGACATTATATGTTGATTCCACTGTTAGAATAATTATCGGTAGTTACGGTACACGCTTGATTTTTCTTCTTTTTTAATGGAGTAACAACACTCTACAGTATTTTTTTTTTCGCTTTAATTTTAGCATTTTCTTATTTTATAATAAAACAAGTAACTAAGAGACCAAAGTACTTCCGTCATTTCATAATCCCTCCTGATTTTACTAATTTCTAGTTTGTACATTGATTACGTAATACAAATCACGATCATAATTAATGTATCGAAAAGACCCACTTTTAACCACAAGGAAAAAGATCCAAATTCAAGAAAGAAGATGACACCCAAACAGAGGAGGGAAAATATTACTCGGTCAGTTCTCTACGTAGGCCACGCGCAGTAAAAAGGACAAATTTTCAAAACCAACCATTTTCATGATTTAATTGCCAAAAACGACCCGTTTCTGTTTTATTTAGAGAAACCGACCTGGTTTCAGCACTGTCGCTGAAACCATGTCGGTTTTTAAAAAAACTTTACGAAACTTCACGGGAGTTGAACTCCCGTGAAGTTTTTTCTCATAACAAAACTTCACGGGAGTTGAACTCCCGTGAAGTTTGGGAAAAAAAATTTCAAAAACCAACCCAGTTTCAACCAACTGGGTCGGTTTTTATAAATAAAATAGAAACGGGTCGTTTTTTGCAATTAAATCATGAAATGGGTCGGTTTTGAAAATTTGTCCGCAGTAAAAACTGCAACAATTCTATTTGCCTGCCCTTAGCAGATTCACAGTGCATCTATAATAAACAAGCAATTTTCAATAGATACAAAACACTATTGATTTTGAAATCTCTTGCCACATGCGAAAGGGTACAAGGATGCCCATTCAATTTTCTCAAATGCACATATCCAACGCAAATTAGTTCACAACTGCTGTTCTATGAATAACAAAAACCTAGGATCTTTCAATACCATATCTTTTCGTCTCTCTTTTTGGAGTAGGTACGCAAAATCTTTTCCAACATAGCATGTGCTGTACTTGAATCTTTCTCATCAACTAAGCCGAAGTTGTTATCGATCCACATTGATCTCGGACCCATAAGCAATGTACGTGCACAATGAGATCAAATGGGTCAAAATGCAAAGGGTTAATTGCAGATACATACATCACCTACACTACGAGAGTGTAGAGTGCGGGTTCTATCAGAATGGCCCGCACCCTGCGGGGCGTTCTGAACCGCATGATGGGGGAGGAGGGGCGCAGTGATGGTATTTCAGCGCCCCCATTGACCTATTAGAACACTCCGCATGGTGAGATGTCCCGATAGAATCTGCAATGCGAGAGCGTAGCCACTTGTAACTTTTTTTTTTGTCATCAGAAGGCCGGCCTCCTAAAGTTAGGCCTCCTAAGCTTCAAATGAGAAGTTGAGATATCACCTGGTGATGTACCATCTTTTGCCCTCAGTTTTAACTGAAAAGAAATACCAAAATTTCTCTCTACACCCAAGAGCAAAAACAATAAAAACTTCTTCTGAGATTCATCAGGTGTCTACGATTAACCTACAGTACTACAAAAGGTGATCCATTTCCAATTAACCCCAAATGTAAATAACCTGCTTCATTTCGATATGTGGAAGCAATCGTGTTCACTCTAATCATCATTCTGTCTAACAGAAAGATGAAGAACTGAAGCATCCAGCACGCAGCAGCCCCAAATATCGGCACCAATGTGATCAAGAATGACAGAAGCCATCTTGAACCTCCACTGCCTTCTGTTGATGTCCAACCTGATGCTATGATATCAAAGTAGAAACATGGGCAAACTGCAAGTTGCAGGACTAACTCATCTTCTTCTCCAATTCATCCACGCATCTCGAATAAGACAACCAGTCACAATCGACCCCCATCTGATTGATAGGAAAATTTTGTCAAAACATATTTCCAACATCCCGTTTCATGAGTTATCCTTTGTCTCGTTAACTATTATCATATCGTTCATATCTGCTTCCAACCATGTCCTCTCACATCTACCTCCGGTCCTCCTTAGTCCTTGCCATATTAACTATAACCTCATCACTTATCCTAACATGCGGATTTATTACAATTAATTTCACAAAACCACCATGAACATTGGGAGAACTTGCCCATAACCCTCCTGAATTTTTTTTGTCTCACAAAACACCCTGATCATTTGACTTTTCTTAACAGAAATTTTCTTGAGAAAACCCCTTCTACTGGGAGGGGTTGTCCTTATTCCGTAAATGGCAACCGACTAAATTTCAAAAAAATTCTCGCGATGGTATCTTAGTTAATTACCAATTATAGGTAGGGGTCCGGTAAGAAAAGTTGAAAGTTAAGGTGATGTTTGTGGCCACCACAAATGTCGGGGGTTGTGGTGGTTATGTGATATAAATAAAGTTCAGGGAAATAATATAAAAAAACCCCAAAAGTTTCGGGGGGATTTGTGAAAGTAACCCTTTGATAGCCTCCGTTGCAAAATAATAAACATGTCAACAGCACATAAACTTCCATCCAAGATACAACGCCTTAGGTCACTTCTAAAAGCAGTTAGCTCTATCATTAAAAGGTCACATAGAAAGATACAACACTTTAAGATGTCACACAGTGTGCAATTAAGTGATAAAGATTTTTGAGGTAGGAAATTAAATAAGTGATAAAGATTTTTGAGGTAGGAAATTAAAGGTATGAACCGACTCGCTTAATTTTGAAAGGCTCCAGTCTGAAGATTTTCTAATGCTACAGTACACATACTTTTCTTGCATACCTCTGATGGCTTTGTTCCTTGTCATTTTGTTGAGAAGCTGATGTGGCCGATTCAGAGCTACACCTGCTCATTGAAGTGTAGAAGGTCAGGCAACAGTATGGCCAGCTGTCAACAAGCAAAACACATGAAGAGCACCACAGAGAAACAAATGCATATTTCATTAGGGAGAACCAATCTCAATCCCAATCGGGGGGGCCCTTGTTCATAATCATAACTATCTATTTTTGCAAAAATTACACAAAACCATCATGACCTGAGGGTGTTTTGCATAAGACTACCATTAAATTTTTCTATTAGGAAAAACTATCATAAACTTTCGATACTGCAGAAATATACAACAAACTATAGGAAATTGTACTAACAGCTTGTTGGATAAAATTCAAATCTATTCTTATTTATATCTATTAACCCACAAAGTTCACAAGTATTATACAGAATATATATGAAGTACATAAAGGTAAAATTATCCAAAACATGTCACGTAAAAGCATGTGACAACTTTAACTGCCCTCAGGCATGTTAGTTTACTGAAAAGAGTTAATGGTAGTTTTCTCCAACCAAAAAATATGATATTTCAGTGCAAAACACCCTAATCTTCATGGGAGTTTTGTGGAATTTACCCTCTATTTTTCCTGAGCAAATTCTTGCTGGTCACATATATAAACAACTCTCTTCTACCCACATCAAAGACTACAGTTTCACTGGGACTGAGTCAATTTAGCTAAAACCCAATTTCTGATATCATAGATCAGCCCCACGTGCAAGATAGGGCGCCACGCCCTGCCTAATTACCCAATAGTCAAAATAGATGGATATAAATTATAGCTTTATGTCAACCTCAAAATTCTTCATTCTCCCATAGCTGATAGATAATAATAAGATTTTCCCCATAGTCATGTGTGGCTTGAAGTGGTTGCTGCATTCAGGGTAAACCACTTGGATTAAATAAACCTGCATAGAAGAGTCAATGTAGTTAGGTACAGCCCCAAGCAAAATGGTTACTTAGAACTGTCACTCTCAGAACAAGATTTGAGGCTTTAAATACTCAGTTCGGTAAACCTAATGGGTAGGACCTTGTTTCCAGATATTGGGAGCATGAACCAAGGTCACATTCACATGAAGTATCAATCTCACATTAGTGTTGTTACTTTGTTAAAGAAATTCAAGTTTATAGCACACTGGTCTAGATTTGGAATGTGATTCCTCCATAGATGAATGATTATAGGAGACGATATCAACTTACTCCTTTGTCCAGACTCTTCATTGCTCTAGGGGGCAAAAAGAAAAAAGAAAAAAAAATTCAGAGGGTTAATCTTCCATATTAAGTTTAAACTACATGGCCATGAAAGTTTCACATCATACCATGGCCCTCTCTTCTTCATAGCCGCCAGAACTAGGTACTTGGCACGAACTTGCGTACTGTTGATTTTAGCTCCCCAACTGGTCCTTATACTTAATCAGGAGTTTCCTCCACTATTTGAGTTTCACTTGGAAGTGTGAATGAATATGGATATTCATGGATATATCTAGATCCCTGCCTATCAGACGTGGATTTGTATACCAATGTCACTACCAGCTGATACGTACGCAAATGCGGATATCATTTCTATTTTTTGTCAGATAGGGATACTATGGATATAAAAAGTCATACATGAATATGGATTTCTGAATATTAATTTGAACAACTGAAATTATTTTGGATTTAGATTAGTGAACCTGACGTTGATTTTGGTAATTCATGAGTCTAGTACTACGTGTTGGATATACCAGACACAGTGATGGTCTCTGACCTAAAACCTACCGAATTAGACAGTTTTGTATAGTATAACAAATATATTTTTGAGTCTTGTCTGTTTCTTCATATCGAACAAGATCGAACTTGGTGGATACAGATATGCGTTTTCTTTACTTAAACATATTTGTACCTATGTCCATGGCAGCGATTACATAATGGATATAGGTACAGTAAATCTCATATCTGATCCACAACAATGCATTTGCACCTCTAATGTTGCTCCATAGCCAAACAACAAAATTAGACAAGGATGACAATGGATGATGGTGGTAATACTCATGTTAGAATTTGTTTGGAACTTCTTAAAGTCAGCATCAGATTACTGTTAGTCCTAAAGTGGGTGTCAGCGAACCCAAAGTTATGGAATTCTAGAAACGGCAAGCTGCTTATACATCTAGAATTGGAAGGCATCAATCAATATGCTGTTAGAACGACAAGCACAAGGTGTGCAAAATTAGTCAAATGATAATGCTAAAAGCATTACGTTTTATGAATCACTCTAGAAGTAAAAGTCTTTGATAAACGAGTTATCATATTTCAGTTTCTGTTAAGAAAGGCTCATGTCAACACTCAGCATTCTAGTTTCTGCTCACCGGTAAAATATGGAGACCGTGTGAACATATCAACCTATTATTTATTTAAGGATATATAACATTTCTGCTTAAATTGTCCTCAACCTGTTAATTAGATACTAAATTTTCAGACCATGTAAGCATGTAGAATTTGCCAACCTCCTCATTACACTTTTTTTTAGTATCCATTTCACATACAAAAGCTAGTAGTCATAAAATTCGGTTCCAATTTATTTACTAGGTAGACACGTATGTGAGTTTTTGTTTAATTTATAACATATGGTTTTCTTGCTTAACTCTATATATAGCAGTTAAATACTCTATTGTTTCACCACCTTTACACTTAAATATCCTAAGTTGCAAAAAATAGCACTTTAATACCTTAAGTTATAAAAAATTACCACATTAGTACCTTTTGGTAGTTGTCACGTAAATATTTCTCGGAATATGTCCTGAGAACTAATAGAATGTATTAAAGTACTACTTTCTTATAACTTAGGGCATTAAAGTGCTATTTTCTTACAACTTAAGGTATTAAAGTGTCACTTTCTTACAAGTTGTGAGGCATTAAAATGCCATTTTTTACAACTTAGAATATTAAGTGTAAAGGTGGTGAAACAATACGGTATTTAAGTGCCAGTTTTTTTCCAACTGATGGTATTAAAGTGCTACTTTTTATAACCTAGGATATTTAATTGTAAATGTGGTGAAACAATAGAGTATTTAAGTGCCATTTTGTGTGTGTGTGTGTTTGTCTATGTATATATATGAGATTAATGGGTATCCTTGTCATAGGAGGAGATTCCCCTCCTTGTCGTCTATGTGGCACAATCCCCACCATCCTCATAAAGTAGGAGAGAGTGCCTACTTTATGAGGATAGTGGGGATTGTGCCACATAGGCGTCAAGGAGGAAATCCCCTCCTATGACAAGGATACTCATTAATCTCTCTCTCTCTCTCTCTCTCTCTCTCTATATATATATATATATATATATATATATTATATATAAATAATATATATATATAATATTATATATATACAATTGTTACATTAAACGTACGCGCTTCTAGGCATCGGACTTGGCGCCCAGCGCTAGTCGCCTAGGCAGACGGCCTAAGCGGTTTCTAAGCGCCTTTTTTTTATTATTATGATACTTGAAAATAAATATACTATATATATATTATATATATATATATATATAATATAATATATATATATATTATATATATATATATTATACTCAATCAAAGATCATTAAATACTAAAGTACCAATACTATTAAACTAAATTGCTTGGTTTACCAATTACAATAGCTCTTTGTATGTTTATACTTCTCAACTCAAATTATAAGTTCATCTCAATAGTAAAAACTCATTCTCAACTCCAAATTACTGTTAACTTATAAGTTACTGTTAAATTAAGTTAAACAATAAACTTAAACTTAAGTTCACTGTTAACTTAGAAATATTATTAACTTAAGTTTTAGCTGTTTACTTAAACTTAAGTTTACCATCAACAAAAAACTTAATATTAACTTAAGTTTAAACTTAAACTTAAGTTTAAACTTAAACTTTAAGTTTAATTAAACTTAAGTTTAAACTTAAACTTAAGTTTACTGTTAGTTTAAACTTAAGTTTAACTTAAACTTAAACTTAAATTTACTGTTAACTTACACTTCTTAGTTTAAGTTACTGTTGTTAACTAACTTAAATAATATTTAAGAAGTATTATTTACCTTGTTAGTAGTATTACAGAGATCGGGGAGCTCGATAATGTCACAAAAGACGCTAGGCAGACTAGGCGTTTGAGCAAGCGCCTAACGCCTAGACCCCTGGGCGTAAGTCTAGGCAGCGCTTAGACGTTTAACATTTTTAAATTATTTAATTATAATAATTGATAAAAAATATGTATTAAATTCATATAAATTTTTTTACAAAAAATAGCAATAATTAGTTCCATAATTAATATCATGCATACTTAAATACTAAATATCCAAAATAATAATTAATAAGGTTAGAGCCTAAGAATTTTTTTTTAATTACAATAATTGATAGTGAATGTCAATAGTTATAGAAACTTAGCATACCGACTAATTCTAGGCAGATTTCTTTCTTCATTTAAGTGGTGGTCGATTAGGTTTTTGTGAAGGTCGGAAGACGGTAGCTGGAGGTGTCATATTTTGGAGGGTCAAGGTTGGAGGACATGTAAGCTACAATACTATAAAATCACAACCAAGACCTACAGGGTGCAATCCACGCTAAGCAGACAATGCATTTCCTAAATGCTCGTAAAATCTAGGTGGGCAGCCTAAATACCGCCTAGGCGCTAGCGCTAGTTAGGCGGCCTAGATACGCCTAGGCCTAGCGTACGTCTAAGCGGAATAGGCGAAGGTTTTTTTAAACTAGAGTATATATTATATATATTATATCATAATATATATATATATATATAGACGCATACACACACAATGTGTGCATGTGTTATTTTTTATTCTTTTTTTTTGTAAGTATGGGGTCAAAAGTAGGTCTAGATAATGTAAATCTTTCCCTCCAACGGTTACAACATTAATGAAGGTGAATTAAGTATTCTCCTCCTGACTAACATCTTGCAATCATGTAAAGTGCCTTGCTATGTGGCATGGATATGGGTGCGGATGCGGGTGCGGACATGGACACGAGTACGGATAGAAGACATGACAAAAATTGTAAAAGTTAGGATACAATGAAATGGCTATATACATACATATTAAAATTAATAATCTATATGAGATCAATATTGTTTTTCATTTACAGGTTGTGAGAACTAAAATCCTTATACCATTTTTATGTTCTTTTTTGAGTAGATTATAAATTGAAAAACTGCTCCTTTTAAAGTAGATACCCAAACGACCCTTTAAAATCATGCTTATGAACTAAGCATGTGCTAAAACGAAGCTATACTGAGTCTAACAAGTTGCATAATTTTGAGGTTAAGTGTACGATAATATGTTCAAGAAGTGTATCACAAGTTTTTTAAAACTAAAACATGTGTCATGTATTGAGTACACCTCTAAATAAATGTTTATATGTAATCAAGAAGTGTCCAAGGAGTGTCTGACATATTTCAATGGCAGATTGCATGATCTCAGCAAAATGCAGATATGCCAAAAGCTGCATTATATGCACATGCATAAGACAAGGGCTGGTGGCCCTTTTGTCATCTTCCATATCATATGTATCATCTTTGCTTAACCTTTCAACTTTATCTTTATGGATTCAGATCTCAACATTCAGACCCTATAGATCTAGCAATGGTCTAACTTTATGCTTATGGAGGTCTCAACTTTCAGACCCTTTAGATCTAGCAATGGGAAAAGGCAACGAGAATATTATGCTATGTGTCCTTCACTGCAGCTTTCTTGTTTGTGTAGGGGAGGCACTAGAAGGTAATATTTCAACCATTTAGGTCGAAGTTATAGTACAACTCAATCCCTATGCCATCATAAAGAAAAAAGAAACTAAAACATAGTGTATTAACATGTTTTAGGCTTTTAGCTACAGTTTGGGTGCCACGAAGAGAGGTTTAATTAGCATTTTATAGTGCTTCTTCTCAGCTAAATGAAATAAGACAATCCCTATTGCATCATAATCCTCTAAGCCTTCTTCACATCAAAATGGGGTAAGCCATATAGTACACAGCTCTACAAAGTATTTGACAAAGTTCTACAACCAGCTGACACCTAATAGTAATTGTTTTTACTCTCTTAAATAGTTGTGACTTCCTGCCCAAAGAAACAATATAAAAGAGAGCGGCTTGCCATAACTCCTAAAATGACTAGTTGGCTGTCCACGGATCTCTATAGGATGGTGAGGCAAAAATGTCTAGAGACAGAAGAGACAGGAAATCACATCCAAAGGCACATATAAACCCAAAGAACCACAGATACATTTCTACAAGCTAAAGTGCATCATATACACCTAATATTCAATGAGTACAACATTGTGAAGTAACACCACCAAACATACCACTCAACAATGCAACATCGGCCAAAATATGAAACATCCCACTTAACATTGCAACATCGGTTGAGTTAGTGGTGTTTAATGTCTACTTTTATTGCAGGACTAGTCAGTGCTTGAGCTGATGGTCTCTCTTCTTTTCTTAGAAAACCAAGCAGGCACCTTGTGTTAATGAGATTTTAACTATTCACAATTTGTATCTGTGCTATTTGACTGAGATCATCTTCCATTCATAAGGCCTCCTACGCTTTAGAGAGAAGAGACAGCAATATAAATATACTGGCTACAGAACTTTTGAGTTATCACATAAAGCTGAAACAATTTCTGGCATATTCTTACCTATGAAATTTAGGAACCATTAATGAAGCAGAATCAATACCCCATGCTAAAGGTTCATCCTTTCAATTCCTGTTATAAGCATACAATACAAATTTGTATCGTAAGCTTGATGATCAAGGGGATTGAAATGAGTTAATAATCTCTCGTCTCCTGTTTAACTTGCAAGCATAGAAGTTTTAGAAAGAGTAAAGGAACAGAGGCTACATATAAAGGAAAATAAAATTTGATTTGTAGAATAATCCATTGTTCACTTACTGGTCACATAAGATTTCAGTTAAGGCCTGAACTCTAGATTTATATCGACAGAAAATTCCACATTCACATGAATTTCATGTTGAACATTTACAGCACCATCTTCTTTGTTAGAAGACATTTTTGGTTATTTTCTAGGATTAAATGTAATCATATTGTTTAAGACATTACAGGATTGAAAATAATAACTTTAATAAACAATGACAAATTAGGAAGTCATAGAGTAAGATTTACCAGATTCATGAACCTAGACCAGCTTTTCGAGCAATTATTGCAATGTTCCTTGGTGAAATATCAGAATTAAAAATAGGGAATAGGCATGCTTCTATCAAATTGCCTTTTTCTTGGAGGAACAATAACCTATCAAGCAAGATATATGTCTCTACTAGCTGCCCAACAGCAGCCCGAAGAGACCAGTAGGGACCTACAAGTTCCTGCATTGGTGAAAATATGAATTCCATTAGCAAAGCAGAAATTTTAACTTGAGTTACAAGTAACTAAATCTAAAGGGAAACGTGTCCATGAAGACCAGTAATAAGACATCACAAGACCAAAATTACTGTCCCTTAAATAAGTTAGGAAAATTAACTAACAAAGTTCAAAAGGGCCTAAGCAGTTGCAGGCACAATCTTCTTGTCAAATCATATTAAAAATGGGTCCCACATGGCTAGGAAAGTGATAAATGGTGTTTATTTTATGTTTTATGCCTTTCCAGGTTAATGTGTGTTCATGTTGTTGTTAAGAAATCATGAAATGTCAATATTGTGCGAACTGAAGAAGTTCTTGATTCCTAATTCTTAAAGAAATAGAAAGGTGCATTAAGGCACTAGAGCGAGAGAGATTTGCTTATAGGTGTAATCACAATAAACAATGTCAACAATGTCTCTGCTAATCCTCAAAATCCCAAGCAATTTGCAAAGAGTACTAACAAAGCTAGGGCGACCAGAAAACAGTTTTGAGTACAAAGCTTTCATTGACAAGATTGACACAGCCTGCCTCTGAGTAGACACACTAGAGTATTACATAAATGCCTGTTTACTGATTTACTGCCACAAGTATTTAGCAGTAATAACCATCACAATGTTTGGTTGTAATACTCTAAGCCTTAAAAGCATGCAAATGCCAAATGCTCAAGGAAGATTATTTATGTAGTAAAGGGGTAGACTTGAATCAATGAAAAATTCTTTAGCCAACCAACAATTTTTGCCTTCACAAATTCACAATCAATAGTTGGCCTTAAAGTCAGGACAAGGTGAGGTGTGGAGCGGGATGGAGTAGATTGTGGTGCATTGGGGAATCGTTGAGTTCTAATCATATAAAAGTGTCTTTCAATTTCTTTTAAACATACAATAACCATAAAACATACACACAAAAGATGCGTAAATGCTACAAAAACACTTGAACATGCCTGATAAACTTGAAAACACTATTTATAATAGCTCCAGTATAAATTTCAAAAACTTGCATTCAGTAAGATTGTGTAAACTGCATGGACCACATTTATATTTGTTGTGAAAGAAATGCTTACTTTTAGCAGCTATAAGTATGGATATAGATATTCTCTGAATACTGAACTCACTATACATGTTTAAAAGGAATGTGGATTTGGATTTGATCCAAGATTCCAAATGCAAAATGGATATCATTGACTGTTACTAAAGTTCTAAGGAAAACTAAGTCCATTCAAGTTTAAGAAGTTCTTTGCATCACTGCTATCACATCATGGAGGATACTAAACAGACATACCCTACATGCTCCTATATGCTCTCACATCATATGTGAATTGTATTCATATACTCAGCCATTTTCTTAGATGTCAAATATAAAGCAATATCCATGTTTAAGACTTTTAAACTAGGCAGATATCCAGATCCATCTCCCTCCCTATTTTACTATTTTTAAATAGAGATAATCTCTATGTATTTCTATGATCTTGTGATATCATGCTTAGATAATCTAGACATGTCAGATAGTTTAGCACTATGACCATATCTTACAGTTAATATCACACAGACATCCTGCAATACCATTGTTTTGATTACCCCAGTAGTTTCATTTTGGCAGATAGACCCCTGGGTTAAAATTGTCTCTTTTACCCTGGGTGAACTTTTGGCAGATATTGCTCCTAGGTGAATCAATTAGTCTGAGGTCTGAGGTTTAAAGAGTGAAAAAGTCCCCCCACCCCAACCCTACCCACGCAAAAAATAAATAAATAAACCACCCACCCGCCCGCCCGCCCGCCCACTCTACAGTGAGGGAGGCTCTATCTGTCAAAATGAAATTGCACTAGTAGCAAGTTCAAAACAACGAGGGTCTATCTGCAATTACCTCTTTAAACTATTAAACAGACTCACAGAGTAGATCTCCATGTCTGACAATTCAGATAAGGAGCTTCAATTGGATCAGATTATTTGTATCTGTTTACCTCCTTTATTACACAAGTAAAATTTTACATCAGAGTTTTCATGTGAATCAACGCATATGGATATAGCAAGTCGTTACAAGGTAGGAAGTTTGTCTGTACCAAAACAAATAAGGACACAAGAAACTGCCAACAAATATAAATATAACATAGGACAAGAGTACAAAACTGGCATACCAAGAACTGTTGAACTTCCCTCCATATTTTCAGCATATCAATATCTCGTAAATGTTCCAAACTAAGGCGACTCAGTCCCATTTCACAAAACTCTTTAAAAAGAACATATTTTTCCCGTGTTTGGAAAGACTGAGCTGCTTGGCTTTCCATAATATCTTTGCTTTCCATGTCACAATAAAACTTGGATGTCAAATAGGTCATACAACTATCGTCTGTTGAGCATATACAACCAAGGGAATTAGATAAATCCAGCATCACCCAAAGTTAGAAAATGAATCACTTCAAACATAATAGCATGCTATTGATCAAAGAAATCTCACTATATCACAGAAGAAGAAATTTAAACTCTAGGACCTTTCGAGATAGCAGCAGCGGCATCAATGTAGCGACTACTGGTCAAATGAACTTGAGAAGAAATCATGGACATTGAAGTAACATTTCCAATAAAGTCACTGTTGGGATTTGATGCAGGAAGTTCACTTCCTCCAGGGCCCGACTGAAATTCAATAGATCTCCTCAACTGTTTGCGTCGTAAAGCTTTCCCTTGACGACCAATTGAAGGACTCGAGTTTAGGACTCCAGGGTAGTATCTCTCAAGAAGCTTCACAGAAATAAAAATTAGGTAGCAGAGAAACTGATAGCTTTCAGTGATTGAAGCATCAACATTTACAATATAAGAAATAAAGTAAAAACTGGAATTTACTTTGGGTAAAGTACAAAACATCCATCTATACTATCTTTCAAGAACCCATCATCTAAAATGCCAAAAAAACCACCAATATATAATGAAACTGTTAGTTTTATGATAGAATTTGGTTCTTCATACATCTAGTCAGATGTCTACATGCATAATTCAAGTTAACGATAAAAATTTTATTTTTTATTTTATTCAAGAGCTAATTTTCTCTATTTTCTTCCTTTCAACTCCTAAAATCTTTGAATTCTAAATGGCAAACGCCTTCCCAGACATCTACCAAAGTGCAAATATATATCCAAAAGTCCGAAGAACAAAACTCCATTGCAAAACTAATGGTTTCATTCATCTTCATAGAAGAAGTTTTTTTTTGCAACTTCTTCGACGAGGGGTTTATTGGAAAGCAGGATAGAGATTGAGGAAGTTTCTTGTAATTCAACATTAATCACAATTAATGATGTATCTATTAAAGTAACAGATACAAGTTGAGAAACTACTAGAATTCAGAATGCGCAAATAGTTAATCACGGATCGGGTACAGACATAGTACAAGTCGTGCTGTGCAAGCTAAAACATGTAGCCCAACAGGAAACCTGTAGCATTTGGAATGCTTGTTTTGTGCCGTGAAAGAGATTTATAGCTCAAGAGTGAAATTGGTAATTTCGATTTAGATAGCCTCTGACGCAGGGTAAACAAGGTTATGGAAGCTGAAAGTGGAGCATAGCGGGTGAAGCACCGCTCAAGCTTTTTGGGGCTTAAGCGACAAAAGGCGGCAAAAAGCGAAAGCGGTCCAGTTTATACATGTATGAATATGTCGGAGGAGAGGACTGCGAGGAGGAAGTGGCTTTGACGTGAGAAGGAGGTAGAGAAACTTCGACTAAGATAGTGATGGTGAGCTTTGATGCGAAGCTCAAGAGAAAGTGTTGTCGTGATGGCGATGATGAAGGCAGAGCTTGCTGGAGAAGGATTTGGAGGCGGCTTGGTGGCGGGAAGCGACAGAATTACCTGGAAGGTAGTGGACAAGGCGTCGAGATCGGTAGTTAGGGTTAGGTTTAGTTTTGTCTCGATTTGCAAAAGCGAAGAGGGGGAGAAGCAAAGGGTTTTACTTAAGAAAATGGGTCAAGTTGGGGTTCGGGCCGGTTATAATATAAACCAGTATTTGTTTTTTCCAAACTGCTGTTAAGCACTTAAAAGCGCTTTACAGTGCTTTTAAACGGTTGACGGTGTTTTTACGAGCTTTCTGACCCGTTATTGAGCAGAAAGTGTCATGTCCGTTTTCATTAAAAGCTTTTGATGAAAGCGTAGCGGTGAGGCACCGCCTTCACCTTGCGGACCGTTTAAACAGCCAAAAGCACGGCTCTTTTCAATAGTGAGGGTAAAGGACAGCAAGACAGCAAAAACAGAATCCTGCCATGCTACTTTATGACTAAAATTTCCTTATTGCCACATTGAAATAAACAAATGACACTAGCAGATGAATACTACAAGTTGACTCGCAAATGCAAGATGAGGAGGGTGAGTCTACCATTTGAAAGGCGGCACGAAATGCATGTAAATCAAAATTCTGAAGCGCAGCATCTTTAGTGAGTTTTCTCCATCTCTCAGCACTCTAAACAAGAAACCAAGGTCATTCTACATCTCGTACCAGTGGCCAAAACTAAACAATCTCAGTTGTGAAAAAATTACAAGCAGTGAAAGTAAACAGGTAAATAAAGATAACTGAATGAAATTGTTATTCCATGTATAAAAAGAGTCAAGTGCATTTAAGGTTTTCAATCATCTTATTGCACGTGCAGAAAGAACCATGGGGATTTTTACTACTAAACCAACAGAGTACACCATTCTCACTAGCCACAAGGCATTCCTAGTTCCTACTAGCAAATACAATCCATTTACTTGTATGAACTTAAAACTCCAGTCTTAAATTCATTAGTGATACGATGAAAAACATAGTACTTTAGATCAAACCATTTGAAGAAAGCAACATTTCACTAATCAATGTCATTCTCTGATCAAGAATTCCGAAGATCAATAGATCACTACATTGTCACTCAAACGAATATGTGGAGCATAACAATATACAGTAATAGATTATTCTTTTTTATATTGAGTATGGGATTATAGACCCCCTCTAGAGAAGCAATTGCATTAACCAAACCATTGCAAGCTTCCTCATAATTTCCTAATATTTATGCTCCTAAGAAAATGCTGATTAAACTATGACCTTTTTAACTTACGGTGGTATCTCTGGTTCTCCATGAGTTGATTCTTCATCACAGCAAATAAAATCCTCATCCTAAACACCTTAATAGTCGCCATCCTAGGACTACCTCCTTTAGCAGACTAGAATGCTTCTAGTCATTCCCAACCAACCCTTTTCACATGCATCATAATTGATAACCGGAGCATCGGACCTATAACCGGACAATAAAGGACAAGTTCCGAATAGATATCAGTAAGAGCCGGTTATATCATCCAGTAACCGCTAGCACATGCCAAACACTTTCAACAGCAACCACAGGGATGGAACACAGAGTGGGACAGATCATGCTTACTGCTAATTCTGTTCTATCACTAAACCGTCTATGGCGCCTTTCAAAACATTAGATTTCTGTCTACTGGTTTCAATACTCTTTGTTTTAACCAGAATAGACTCGATATTAGGTAGAATGGTTGTAGCCTGGTCTAAAACCTGGGATCTCCCATAACATATCTCCTCGCTTTACCAGCAAGCTATGTCTCACCAGCTCGTGAAGGTATTTAATCAGAAGTACACGGTAAATGAATAATAACGCTGAAAATATCAAACATGTCTAACAAGTAAAACAGATAAACTTATGTGTTTCCCAAACTAGTTTTAATTCTAATGCCAAGAAATTCAAAGAAAATTTTGCATTGAGCCTTTGACTGATGCACATATCTCCATTTTAGTACCAAAGTAACTTATAGTAATAGATAAGTAGATAAGTAGAATCAATATATACCCATTCTTTAGTGTACTCTGCTTCTGCTTTCATGATGATTATGGGGGAACCTCCCATGATAATTTAAATGGAGTAGGGGAACAAGTTAACCTTCAATCGATATTATGCTCCCCTATTGGGAAAGTGTCCAATGCCATGATGAAGGTGAGAGATTAAGACAGCTAAATCTTCAGCAAGACACCTAGACCAAATCAGTCATTGTTTTCATGACTAGAAACAAGTTAGAATATTTTCACTTCTATAGTTCTATGTACTATAAGGGCTTTAGACAGCCTCCATTTGACACACTACTTCAAATAGAAGAGAAACACGCGAAAAGAATAACAACCTGCACCAGACTGTATATACCTGACAAGCAAGATCACGAGCATTTTTTCCAAGGCTTAACCTGGATACTTTTGCAGCAATGCTCATTGGAAAACCACAGGGGATGTCATCATTCTCAAAACAATCTTCAGATAGCAGGTTGTAACAACAACCAATGCCAACTAGTGCCTTTACTTGTTCACAGTCAACAAAAGTCCTGAGTTGAGTGTATTATGTGAAATCATCAAGTGAAAACTGAAAGAGATTCAACCCTAATTTTTAACAAAAGACAACATACACCATGGAATGGAAGGCGAAAAACTTGGAACAAGAAATTGCACTTAAAGCTCAAAACCGTTTTTGAATAATCAGATAATTGTTGATACAAACCTAAGCATGCTCACTGAAAGATCTCCACAAGCATGAAGGCCAACAAGGACCAGTGAAGAAACTTCATAACCGTGTGCAGAAGAACTTCCTTTTCCTTCTAACATTGAGCACCCAAGAGAATCTGCTTCTTCAATGTTTTTATTATACAATGAACTGCTTAATGCTGTAAGAGTGTCACTTGAAAGAACATGGCAAGTGACAACATGTGGTACCTTCAGATGAATATCTCCTGCAGTGATAAACAATCAATAATGAAATAAGGTAAACAGAGAAATTTTAAATAAACCATTAAGTACAACCATATCCAGATTTACGCAATTTGGCAGCATAATGCTTCTTAATTCTCTCAGCACGAGCAGCCGTAACAGTGGAATGGTGCAGAGAAGCATCTATTGCGATTACAGAGAGTTGGTAGTCAAAAGCCAAGGCTTGTGCAAGATAGCCCTGAATGCATCATTTCGCAATGTAAATTAATTAAAAAGAAAGGACCAATGAACATTTCCCAGCTATTTTAATATATGATAAAAACTAAATAAATGGCTAGAACATGATGCATGGTAAATTAAGATCTCAAACATAATGAGCATTAAGTACCTTTGTAGCAAACTAGTAAGCATGTATCAAACACGTTCTACATGTATCATGGATTTAATACCTGTCCAGAGCCAACATCAATAATGGTCTGGGCATCAGCAACATGCGCTATAGCATTTACAACTGCAGCCAGGATTTCCACCTGTTTCAGTGCAAATCAATTTGTTCAAAATGAGTCTTGAAGAAGAAAAAGGAAAGGTAACTCTAATCAAAACTAGAGCATGCTTTTTCACAATTCAAAAAGGACAAACATGCCGACCTAAGGATAACGAGGATAAACAAGAAGGAAAGGGAAGTGCATTTTGGCCACCAAACACTTAATTTACCTACTTCATGTTTCTTCTTTGAATTCATTCCTTGAGATAACACAGTGCCAAGCGATGCCACACGCAAATTAGGTAACATCTGAAAGATGGTAAAAAGAAATGATATCATGAGACGAAAATATATAAGAAAGCAGTTGTTATGTTCCAAATCTGAGACCAAAATATGAGGTAAGAGTGATAAAGCATTTCTGTTAAAACATTTAAGTATTAAATGAAGTGTAACTAGAAGATGATCATCAATACTTTGAAAAGTTACCAACATTCTTGATACATCAATCATCAGCCATCACATTGTGTAAAGCAAAAAGAGCATAACTCTATTGTAAAAGGAGATCAAATTACATTTAACAACCACATAGAGTAAGCCTGGACAAAGGTCTCCAATTCATTTACGTCATGTCAACAACTTATTGAATGATGAAGTCCTTAAACTGTCGAAGTAATTTGCTGCTCTTGTTCCCTCTCCCTCTCCCTCCCCTTCTCTCTCTCTCTCTCCAAGCACTCAACGCCCTCGATGATTTCTAGGGGCTGCTTGGTTGCAAGGATTTGTGAGAGATTCTTGAGATTGTGGGTCCCAACCCTGAATTTTGTGTCAGATCTAAATTCTCTTTGAAAATCTCTGTTCGACTCTAAGGTAAGGACAGTGAAACAAAAGAAACTCCCAATTTCAGTGACAGCTCAGCTAATTGCGTAGTCAGAAAATCTGAACTCAGAGTTGCGACATTGCAAAGAAAGTGCAGCAAAAGTGGGACCCACTTTTTTTGGGGGACAACTTGTGTTGTTTCCTTGATGTTGGGACCAACAAAGGAAAAAATAATTCCTATTTACAACTTGTGCTGTTGTCCTTTAATTTCTTCACATTGCCCAACATCATTAATCGCCCTCTTGACAGTACTTCCTTTTCTACTAGCAACCAAACAAAATTTTAAAGATTTAACAACTTTTGATTGTATTATTTCAACAACCAAACAAAAAGTGGTCATTTTTTAAAACTTGAAGATTTAAATCTCTGAAATATTCACAGATCAAGAAACAAGAATCTATAAAACCAAATAGGCCCTTAACTCCCCTCCAAAACCATTAACATGCCTATTTAACCAAGATATTTCTTCAAGTAAGCACATTTATTGTTTCTCATTTCTCCTCCTAAATTTGGGCGTATCTTAGTACTAAAACAAGTTGGAGTATCATATGTAATCAGGAAAAGTCTAAAACCTCCAAAGCCAAAGCCAAAACAACACCATCTTCGGTTACTACCTTGCCTTCTCTTGCCATTGAAACTTAAACAATCAATTCAGAGCCAAATAGAAAAGAACTTAACTGCATTCACTTCAGTATATGGTATGCTGGACTATCTTAATAGTAATCTTTGATTGAAATTTAAATAGTAATTTAACAAACAAAAAACAAACTTAACTAACACTTCGAATGTAAAGTTTGACTGTCATGGTAATACAGGAAACATCTAAAACCAAAATAAAAACAACACCATCTTCAGTTTATAATTATGCCTACTATTGTCTTTGAAATTTAAACAAGCAATTCACGACCAAACAAGAAGCACTTAGCTCACATTTACATCAAAGTTCAAATGTACTAAGTTGGACTACCACAGTATCACTAAAACCTAGATTACAACAACACCAACTTACGTTTATAATTTTACCTACCCTTAAACTTGAAATTTTAAACAATCAATAAGAAGCAAACGGAAAGCAGTTAATTTACATTACCTCAAATATACAACATTAAAAATGACCTTCATACCTCATGAAACGATTTTTGCTCACGAGGTAGCGCAAGAGACCTCAAGGTCATTACAAACTCTTTGAGTGAAGTGGGCCAGTAGTCCTATAACACGGAGAAGCAACAAATGAAGATCAAATCAAACAAGATAAATACATTAGTAAGTATAAAGATCTTCTGTTTTTTTTAAACCTAAATTCTCTGTAAACCCACAACCTCCAAAATCATTCACACCCCCAATTTAACTAACACTATGGAACTTTAACGAATATTACAGCAGTTTAAAACCGAATTAGCTGCTTGACGTAGTTTGTAGAATGAACGATACTGGAAGTGCGTAGGTTTAAAAATATACCAGGATAAAATAACCGGTTTAAATCAAAGGCACTGAATATAAAGCTGAAGCAAGAAAAATCGCAACTTGGATCAACACCTGAACTAATCCTGAAGGTATACCAAGTAAATTATCCACGGATTCTTTTCTAAGGCATTCCATCCATTGCTCATCCACTAGCTCCCATAACCTCTCCTGAGAAATGCATCAAATCAAACTCGTGAGTGTAATAAAATAAAAATAAAAATAAAATAAAAACCAAGAAAAACTCCTAAAATTAGGGTTTATGGGGACTAACCTTGAGGAAATTGACGACGTGAGAATCGATTAGGGGTTTGTAAGGTCGGAGGAAATCTGCAATGGCGTTCATCCATTCTAGGGTTTTGTCAGCGCTCTCGCACGAGTACTTGCGATTGGGATTCGCCATTTTGAGCGGGGGAGGAGAGGGGGGAAGCGTTGAGGGTTCCCAGCTTAAAAGAGTGTCGACGTAAATTCCATCCAGGGCCCTCTATTTGCTAATTAGGGGGTGTTTGGTTGCATTGTTTTTGAGAAATGTTTTCTCAAAAGTACTGACGCATGGCATTTATGTAATTAAGAGTTTTCTATACATTTCTATAAACTGTGTTTGGCTCCAAAAAAATTTACAGAAATGTTTTCTGTAAAGTGCCCAAAAGTACCAAATTTTATGGAAATTGATTTCCTTCTAAAATGGGAGGAAATCTCTTGAAAATCTGACGCATTCATTATTTAAATAATAAAACGCATTAACTCTTTTCTACAAAGTTCTCACTTTTCTATAAAGTTGGTGGTGTTTGGTTACATTTCTATAAATTATAGGAAATATTGCTATTTTCCTAAAAGTTATTTCTCATTTTCTTGTTTTGAACCAAACAAGCACAATACAAAAAATAAGAAAATTTATACTTTTTAACTTCTCAAAACTTTTCCTATAATTTTTTTAAGAAATACAAGGAAATCAAATTTGGGATGGAAAACATTTCCTATAATTTATAGAAATGTAACCAAACACCCCCTTAGTTTCTAAATACCCCCGGGTTAAAACGATTTTACTGCAAACATTGGGTTGTTCAGAAGTCACGGCCTCGTAATTATAAAAATGATATTATTAAGTTTAAATTAACGGAGGAAATGTTACATAATAGAATAGAATGAAAAAGTATGATTCATGTAGCCGACTCTAACCGTTTGGAATAAATGATTTGTTAATGCTGTTATAAATGGGGCCCCAGGTTCATTTGTATCCATAGAAACCCCAAAAAAAATTCTCCTCAACTAGTTGGGCGGTATTTCACGAAACGAAAAATCAAAAAAAGAGTTGGGTGTATGAGAATATATTTAGAAAAGGTGGGGGTTATTTGGAAGTTATCCGTCCAACTTACGAGACCCTATGACTTCGGAGATTATTGTCGTGGATTAAGGCTAATCCTGGGAAGCTAGAATGGGCCTCATCAAAAGCCCACTATTGAAAGATGGGCTTACTTGGAAGCCCGTTTCTTAAATTTAGGCCGAGCTGACACTCACCATCCGGTGGCTCTATTGTAATTTACCCAGGCTCTCGCTCTGATTCTTCCTTCGGAAGACAAGACGTCAGCCCCGCTCTTTGTCCTCTTCCTCGTTAAAACCCTCGAAAACGCGGGAAAACAAAGCTCGGTGTTCGAGTTCATCGTCTAGGGTTCCAATTGACTGAAGCTCTGCTCGAATCTCGCCATGGATTTGGACCCCGAGGGCATTTTCAGAGACGACTCCGACTCCGATAACGACTTCTTTCAGGTAGGTGACCCTCAATTAGGTGAAAGACCCCCTCGATTTCTTTGATTGTCCCCACTTTTGATCGATCTCTAAGTTTGATGACGGATTTATTTTCAGGAGAGAGAGGCGAGCAAGGAGTACGTCGTGTATTTGGTCGATGCCTCGCCTAAGATGTTCAGTCCCGCTGTCACCGATGTAAGCCCTCTTTTTGAAAATTTACTCTTTTTGTTTTTGAAAAATTTTTCAAAAAAGACCCAATCCAAACTTTTTTTAAAAAAAATCAACCCACTCCGGTTTTTATTATAGAAATCTCGACCCAGTTTCTGGTCACGTTTAAAAAAAATCAGCTTCCTAATTAGTCAGGGTTGGCAACCCCGACTAATTAGAGTTGCTCATCCCCACTTGGCAGATTAGGACACCTAAACAAGTCGGGGTTGTGTAACCCGACTAATTTGGTCGGGGTTCCCAACCCCGACCATTTGGGATTGACTTCCCATGCCCACACAAAATAGTCGGGGTTCCTAACCCCGACTATTTGGCAAAGACCTTCAGCCCACTTACTTGTTGGAAAATCTCATCTCCTACTAAAATTGTCAAGTTTAACACAAACTCTCTTGCTACATATCAATTCATAATCAATTTCAATCACAAATAGTGGGGTTAGCAACCCTGACTATTTGGTCACTTAGCCGCTTCTCCATCTTTGTGGTTGGGGAGGCTCTGCTAAATGGTCCGGGTTGAAAACCCCGACCATTTAGACTTGGGCAACCGCATGCGCTGCCAAATGGACGGGGGTTGCGAACCCCGACCATTTTGTGCGGGGCAAGGGAACTCAATCCTAAATGGTCAGGGTTGGAAACCATGACCAAATTAGTCGGGTTTCGTAACCCCGACTTGTTTAGGTATCCTAATCTGCCAAGTGGGGACGGGCAATTCTAATTAGTCGGGGTTGCCAACCCCGACTAATTAACAAGCCGGGTTGTCAACCCCGACTAATTAGGAAGCCGGTTTTTTTTAAATGACCCAGTTTCTGACCACGATGCTGAGTGGCCAGAAACTGAGTCAATTTCTATAATAAAAACTGGAGTGTGTGGATTTTTTTTTTTTAAGTTCGGATTGGGTCTTTTTTGAAAATTGCTTCTTGTTTTCGGGTAAATTTCAGATAACACCCTTACCTTTGGTGATTTGCATGGAACCCCTTGAACTTTACACATTAGAGAATAAATCTCTAAACTTTGGAGAATTTCACGAATTCCTGAACTCTTGAATAGTTCCGCAAGCTGAATCATCTTCTGGAATTCCCCTTGTCTGTAATTCAGCAGCACTTGTCACTCCTCAACAATTTTTTCAGCATGTAACGTCCTTGTATTGATATTTTTTGAAGAATAAATTGAGATAGTCCTCCTCACCTTGTGATTTTTTGGGGGGTTAAAAGGCTAATAAAATAGTCAATGGCTGATAGGTGCTACTAGAGGTATCTGCAGTGTACCCTTTTAAAATATAACTTCCTCTCTTGGTAAAGCCGTAAAAAAGAACCTCAGCCTAGTTTCTTTTCGTGTTTCCCTCTATCGTCTCTTTTCTGATAAACACTAGAATGGAGTTTACCGCATAGTTTGTTTGGAACGTTTTGGAAGTTCAGTTGGATTATGTAAAACTCCCCATGTTGAAGGGGAGTTCTCTCTAACTTTAAAGTTTAGGGGGGTTTATGAAATGTTCCCTATAATTTTTTATGACCAGAGAATCTATTAACTGATGTATGACGATTTGTAGGAAGATGAAAAGATGGAGACACATTTCCATGTTGCGATCAATTGCATTTCACAGGCCTTGAAGACGCAGATCATTGGAAGATCAAATGATGAAGTCGCAATTTGTTTCTTTAACACTGTAAGGTTTCTAAATGATTTGAGTCTTTTCTCTTCTATTTAGTTGTGTTTTTATGTGACTGTATGTTTTTTTTAGCCTAAAATATTTGAACAATCTTCCATATATTGTGTATCGATTACTAGTTGTATTATAATTGTTCTCTCCCAATAACTAGTACCACTGCCATAGTTTGATCAT